CGAGTTCAGGTGGCCTTTGGGCAAGGTGGGAATTCTTTTCTCGCCGTCTACCATAGAAAGCACGGAAACCTTCATTGTCACTTTGCTTAAGCATTTCAAGTTCACGTAGAGTTGATTTGAACTCTAAATTACACTCATATTGGGTAATGAAAGCCGAAACTATATCTTCCCATGTTGTTTTGAATTTAGGGTCTAGCCCATAGTACCACTCTCTTGTGGCTTGGTCTAGAGATAAAGGGAAAGTCAAAGCATAAAGATTAGGATCAAGTCCCTTTAATTTCATAGTGCCATTAAAACACATTAAATGATTTTGTGGATTATTTGTCACCTTAAATATTGGCAAGTCCGTAGCTACGAACTTTTCCAGTAAAGCAAGTTCTGTAGGAGGAGCAAACTTTTCTGCATCGAAGTACTTGTTCCCCATTGTAGAACGAAGAACTAGCTTCTCCGATGAATTTTCTTTGTTTGATAATTGTTCCATCTTTTGTTACAAGGCTAAGGTTTCAGCATTTTTCTTTTCCGCCTTTTCAAGTTTCTTGATTCTTCTCTCCTCGGCTTCTTGAGCTTTTTCCTCTCTCAAACGAAGAATCTCCGCTTGAAGTCTTAATGGTTGACCTTTTTGTTGGACTAGGACTAGTTGTCGAGGAAAGGTGGTTTGAAGGGGGTTGTTTATTGGATGGTAAACATAGAATGCGAGTGCCCGGGAGTCTTCATTCCCAAGCTTGAAAACCGGCCCTAAAAGAAGTACAAAAGGATAAGTAAATCGATACAACACGCTTGTTTAGAAGAAAGAAAAAAGGAAATGACACAAGATATATTCAAACGGATAACATCACCCTTAAACAATTCTTCAATGAAGATATTGTTTGAACGAGTCAATTTGTTTTTTGATCAAATCGACTCGTAACAGTGGGCGTGCGCAAGTGATTAAGCTGCACGCGTCCGAATCACTTGCGGTGGTAGGGGTCGCGCAACTCATTGAGTTGCGCGCGCCACCTGCTCGTAAGATTTTTTTTAATTCGAGCACTTTTTTTTGGTTTTTCATCGTTTTTTAATTTTTTTTATGTTACCCTTCGAATACGACTCAAAATTACAAAGAGACAACTTTATAATTGGGAACTTAGACCAAACTAAAAAAAAAAAAGAAAAAGAAGACTATCCTAACACGTTGCATATAGTCACATAATCACATAAAGCATGTCATAAGCCAAGATTCACACAATGTCATTCTAAAATCAAAAGGCTTAGGTGTCCAAAGGTACCATATCTTAAGAAATGACGCACAAATCAATCACTCAACGTGTTTACTCATGGCATCGCTCTCCCAACATTTTGCTGGCGATATGGGTGGGATTATTGATATTGATTTTGGGATAGAAGCCTAGTGTTGGCGACCCCTAATCAATGAGCCAATCCCCAAAGGTTGAAGGGTGTTATGATTATGCATGATGCAATGTTGCTTGTTTGGTTTTTAATTTTATGTAAAAGGAAGATATTATGCGTTCAAATCTCGCTCTCTAACTAGAGATTATCCAAGTTAATTCTCGTTACAACCCATAGGAATCCTAGTTTTGGAAACCTTGGACCAAACTAAGAACTAATCATGTAACCTCTAAATCCCCAGTGGAGTCGCCACTGTAAAGAGGGTGATCCCATCATAAGGGGTCCTTCCTTAGATGCCTATGGCCATTTAAAAGCCTAGGACTTTACACTTGTTAAGGTGTAGTAGGATTCCTGACTGTTAGGGGGACCTTAAATTAGAATTGATTCTATCATTATACTTTTTTATAAGAAACAAGTAGGAGTCACCAATGAGTTTTATGAAAAATCATAAACCTCGTTCATGCCTTTCTTCTATGTGGATTTCATGGAATAATTAGCACGAATGGTAAGTTGACACATTCCCAATTGGTCTACATAAACCAGAAATGAGTTCGGGAGCAAGGGTACTAAAATAACGTTCTCTTTAGGGGGAATCTCTATCCTAGCCCTAGTACAGCCTCTACTAGCTCTTCCTTTTTTACAATTACATCACCAAACAATATACACAATGCAATACCTAAAACTAAGTTAGTTTATTTTATTTACACACATCAATTCATGTAGGAGTTACATTACGACGTCGTTATTCTTTATTTAATCAAATTCGTGAATAGGACAAGAAATAAACAATATTCGCCTTAGCTTAAGTGATCAACCAACAATTAATTATTCAATTCTAATCTTATTTAACGCAATATACTATATGGAATTGATTAATTAAACCTTTTAAAGCGATCAAGAAACACTAATTAATTAATTAAAGTTCTTTTTAACAAGAAAATAAAAATTATTTATCTCAGTGCTCGGGATTTTACCACATCCCTTTGCTAGATCTTCGTTTAGAACACTTATGGACTCCTTCTTGTTCGGGAACCTCCATCGTAGTAACAAAATATCAAAGGGTGAGTGTTTAGGACAAGAGGGGTTAGGTAGCACAAGTTCACAAGTTTTTATGCCGGAGTTTAGGGTTAATTTCTTTGTGTTTAAGCCTTGGATTAAGCCTCTATTTATTGGGAATTGGTAGGTTTTAAGGTTTTGAACATTCTTTCGCAGCAGGTGTCGCGCCTAACTGGATAAGTTGCGCGCGGCAACCCAGCACATGTGATTGAGCTGCGTTGCTATAGGCAGCGCAACTTTTTGTCGTGCGCGCGGCTTTATGATAAGATTTGATTTTCCAATTTTTTGAAATTCTGAATCTTTCAGAGTTGCTCCTAGTGTCACGTGCAACTGAATTAGATGCGCGCAGCCCAGCACGACTCCTTGAGATGCGCGTGTTACTTTTTGCGGCAGCATTTATTTTAACCTAGACGCTCCTAAATCCGTCATTATTGGGTTTTAAGCACGGGCTTAAGCCTAATTATGATCGGATTTAGTTAAATGGACTTTGTTTCTTGGTTTGGGCTAGTTTTTTGTGTTTTGTGGTTTTAACTAGTTATCCATAAGCATTCTTCATTTTGATCAAACAGAAAGATGATTTTATTTATCGTCATTGTACTTCCTTTTGGGACAAGAATCCAAAAGTAGATGTCTACACCATGTGACCTCCACTAAGATCCGAATGGCACATCTTCAACACATTCGGCACTTCTTCACGTGGATTGCAACGACAGAGCAAACCATCAACTCCTGCCTTATACAAAATAGGATCATCCCACAAATAGTGTCGGGCTTCTCTCTTGAGCTTCTTCCCTTAATTCTTCGAAAAATAAGGTGGAAACTCCGCACATGATAAAAAATTAATCAAATCGGAAAACCAAGGGAGTTCGTTCACATCAATGGCATATATAAAATCATCAAGCATCCTATCTTCAATAGGAGAACCATCATCTTGGACTTGAGAGTCCTCAAGGGAAGAAAGGTTATCCGCCATAACATTCTCCGCCCCTTTCTTGTCTCTAACCTCAATATCAAAGGTTTAAAATTCAAGCACCCACCGAAGAAATCTAGGCTTTGATTCTTTCTTAGCAAAGAGATACTTGAGAGCCGCATGATCCGTGAAAATAATAGTCTTGGAAACCAACAAATAACAACGGAATTTCTCAAAAGCATGCACAATTGCCAAAAACTCCTTTTCCGTTGTTGTGTAGTTTCGTTGAGCTCCATTGAGAGTTTTTGACATATAATAGATTACATGTAGCTTCTTATCAACTCTTTGACCCAAAACACCTCCAATAGTCGTATCACTAGCATCACACATTAATCAAAAGGTAAATCCCATCTCGGGGCTTGGACTATGGGGGTGGAAGTCTAGGCTTTCTTCAATTTGTTGAATGCTTCCAAGCGTCTATCATCAAACACGAACTTAACATCCTTTTGAAGAAGATCTTTAAGGGTCTTATCAATTAGAGAGAAATCCTTGATGAATCTCCTATGGAACCAGGCATGCCCCAAGAAAGATCTCACACCTTTCACATTGACCAGAAGTGGAAGCTTTTCAATGACACTAATCATTGCTTGGTCCTCATCAATTCCCTTGTGAGAGCTCTTATGACAAAGGAAAATGCCTTCCTCAACCATAAAGTGACATTTCTCCCAATTCAAGACTAGATTCACTATCTCACATCGAGCCAAACACTTTTCAAGATTCTCAAGACAAGCCTCAAATGAAACACCTCCCAGTGAAAAATCATCCATAACACTTAATTTCTTCTTCAAACATATCTCCAAAAATGCTCATCATAGCACCGTTGGAAGGTGGCGGGGGCGTTGCAAAGCCCAAATGGCATTCTCCTATAGGAAAAAGTTCCATATGGGCAAGTAAAAGTTGTTTTCGCTTTCTCATCCAGATGAATAGGAAATTGAAAGAAACCGGAGTAGCCATGAAGAAAACAATAATACTCGTGCCTTGTTAGTCTTTCAAGCATTTAATCAATGAAGGAAAGGGGGAAATGATCCTTTTTGGTGGATGTGTTTAGACGTTGATAATCTATACACATCCTCTATCTCGTGACCATTCTTGTAGGAATGAGCTTACCTTTCTCATTCTCTACAACGGTCATGTCTCCTTTCATTAGGACAACGTGGACCGAAGAAACCCACCTTCAGCTAGAGATTGGGAATATGATTCTCGCATCCAATATCTCGGTGATTTCCTTCTTGACTACCTCCCCCATTTGAGGGTGAAGCTTTCGCTGTCTTTCAATGCTTGGTGAGGCATTATCCTCAAGGACGATGTGGTGAATGCATAAGGCAAGACTAATACCCTTGATGTCATCAATGGTATAGCTCAAATCACCTTGGTGCTTTCTCAATATACCACACAACTTTTGGGCTTGGCTCTCACTTAAGGAGAAACTAACAATCACGGGAAAAGTTGAGTTAGGGCCTAAGAATACAAATCTAAGGTGTGATGGAAGATGTTTGAGCTCAACCATGGGGACACCTTTACCTTCCTTTGATGTAGCCGCTTGCAATGCTTCTTCGCTAGTAATGTTCATGCACATTAACTCATCAACATGTTAAAGGCTTCCATTGAGCACATCTGCATATAAATTCATCTCCTTGCTAGGAGAACCTATATTTTCCTTATTCAACAAAACATTCTCAAGAGCATCGTTTGAGGTGAGAAATTTCTTATACATGGAAGACACAACCGAATCAAGAGAGTCAATCATCATACAATTCTCCATATAAGAACATGGATACTTCATACTATCATTTAAGTAAAATTCTATAACCTTATCTCCTAATTTATGTGAAATTTTCGCGCTCTTGACATTAATCATAGCACCCGAAGTAGCGAGGAAGGGTCTCCCTAGAATGATAGGAATGCTAGCATCTTCGTCCATTTCAAGCACCACAAAATCCACTGGAATAACAAATTTTCCAACCCTTAAATGGAAATCCTCCACCTTACCTTAGGAAACTTGATTGACCTATCGGCCAATTGCAAAGTGATGTTAGTAGGTAAGAGTTCCCCTAGTTCAAGTCTTTGGTATACCGAATATGGCATAGGGCTAACACTAGCTCCTAGGTCACATAAGGTATTGTCGATTTGCATTTTGTAAATGGCACAAGTGATGAAAAATCTTCCGGGATCTTTTAGCTTAGGTGGAATCTTGTTCATTATGATTGCACTACAATTCTTGGTGAAGTTCACCGTCTCCACAACATCACAAGTCCTCCTATTTCTGAAAATGTCTTTGAGGAATTTTGCATAGTTAGGCATTTAGGTGACAACATCGATAAATGGTAGAGAAAGGTAAAGTTGCTTGAGCATGTCAATAAATCTTCCAAATTGTTCATCAAACTTATGTCTCATGAATCTTTGTAGATAGGGAAGCTTAGGTTTCACAACTTCTCTCTCTTCTTTCACCTCCTTGGGTTGCTCTACCATCACTTTACTTAAAGAAGCACCATCTCCCTCATAATCAAATAAAACCTCATTGGCACTCTTCTCACTCTTGCTCTTGCTAGATACACTCTCCTCAAGTACCTTGCCACTCCTTGTTACTATGGCATTAACGGGTATCTTAGGCTCGAGGCCTTGAGAAGGTAAAGAAGAAGGGCTTGCATGGTCTTTCAAAGCATTAGCAAGTTGAGAGATTTTGTTTTCAAGCATATTATTATGGGTCATCATTTCATTAACCTTCTTGTCACTCACCGCCATATAAGTGTTCAACAACTTGGTTTGGTTTTCAGTGATTTCTACCAAGTTAGTCCTAGAAGAAGACGCAGAAGAAGAAGAGGATTGAACATAGGAATTATCATTTTGGGTCTTTGGAAAAAATTCAGGTGGGGGACCCCTTTGAGCATTGTTTTGAAAATTTCCCCTATTTTGATTGTTCCAATTACCTCTTCCTTGATTTTGACCATAACCTTTATTATGTTTACCATAACCTTCGTTATAATTACCATAATTTTGGTTTTAATTTTGGCTACTATAACCTTGGTTGTTATAGTTACCTCGGGAATTTTGGTTCCCTTGGTTCCTATTACCATCACCTTGGTTATAGTTGTCAATATTCCCATAATTGTGGTAATTCCTATTCCATTAACCTCTTTTATTCTCAAACCTAGAATCATTATTGTTTGACACATAATTCACATGATCATTCACATTTTTATCTTGATCATCACAAATATACATACATGCATAAGGGCAATTAGAAGCATCATGATCATACAATCCACAAACACCACAAAACAAGCAACCACTAGGCATGTTACTAGAAGAGGGAGAGGTTTGAGAATTAGAAGACATACCTCTCCCCTTAGATTGGGAGGGAAGACTCAAAACTTGGGAGGTAGCACTTTCCAACTTTTCCTTGATAGCGGACATTTGCTTCCCTAAGTTTGTCATTTGTGAGGATCGATTGTTGATTGCATTTAGATGATCAATCGAGTACACCGAAGAGCTACTCTTGCTAGTTGACTCCCTTCCGTATCTTGCCAATCTCTATAGTACCTCACTACGTCTTAAATTATGTCTACCACTTCCTCCTCCGTTTTATTCATAATGAGACCTCCGGCTCCTACATCAAGACATGACTTTCCTTGAGGACTTAGGCCACCAAGAAGATTTGAATAATTCAGTAAGTAGGAATTCCGTGTTGAGGACATTATCTTTGATACTCTTTGTATCTCTCTCATTCTTCATAGAGGCTTTCACTAGGCCTTTGCTTGAAACCTTGAATCATAGCTCTAGCCTCCTCCATTTTCTTTTGTGGATAGAAACGAAATAGAAATTCCTTGGTCACTTCATCCCATGTCCTTAGAGAATTGGGTTTGACCTCTTTGGCTAGCCATTCTAAGGCACGCCCAATGAGAGAAAAGGGAAAAATCTTGAGGCGGATAAATTCTTGGGAAATTCCATTCACTTTGATAGTGTTGCAATACTTTTCGAACTCTTTGAGATGATTTAGTGAGCTTTCATTCTTGGCCCCACTAAATTGTCGCCTCTCTATCAAAGTGATCATTGTCGGTCTTATTTCAAAGTCATTTGCCGGTGGTTTAGGTAGAGCAATCCCAGTTTCAAACCTATATGCACCCGGAATCCTCAATTCCTTCAATGCCACTCTTGAATTTTCTCTCATCCATGCTTGTTCTTCTTGTTATGGTTCTTCTTCAATTGAAAGGCTAGAACTCAAAGATTTTATAGCAACTCTTATCCTTTCAATTGTCCTCTCAATCTCCAGATCAAGTGGAACTAGTGAACGACCACATGCTCTATGCATACAATCTCAAAAGAAACAATTAGTAGCACGGCTACAAATGTAGCCAAAGAGAAAAAAATCTTTTAACTAATATTTTCCAATTAATATGAAGTAGACACAACAACTATAACAAAGCACCAATATCATTCCTTGGCAACGGCGCCATTTTGACGTAGGGAAAATGTAGGTCATTTTCTAATCTCCTCTACAGCTAAACAATTTACAATCACTTAACCAACCTATTACGAGTATAAGGTAAGTCAAGGGTCGAATCCAAAGGAATGAATAGGAGAAAGCTATAGCCTATGTCAAGCTACTTCGAAAATTGTAAGAAGAATTGGATGCTAACTAAGGTATCAAAAGACTAAACAAATCAAAGAAATTCAATAAGCTAAACACTAGGGATATGCAAGCTCAATGATTGTGCTAATTGATGGATGACTCAATTGATTCAAACATTGCAAAGGATAAACAATAGTTGTAACTAATAGAATCCAAAAGCTATTTCCTATAAGCCAAGCTAGGGTTCACTAAGAATGGCTAACAAGGAAAATCACAATCAAATTCAATAAATTAAAGCAATTCTCAAATCAAGGGTTCATGTCATTGAAATTTTTTATGCAATCTAGATTAATCTTATAGGTTGATCTCTCCTAGTCTAATTAATCATATGCACAACTATGTCAACTAATTTAATTGCAACAATTCAATCAACCAAGAATCATCAACTAGCAATAATCATCAATCAAGCATGCTACCCCTTCTCCTTAGCTACTAATCTACTCACTAATCATGGTGGAATTGAAAAACAAAGCAAATTGAATTACAACCATCATCATTTCAAGCTCAATCAAAGAGAAAATCAAACATTTAACAAATTCTCAATCAAAGATCAAAAATCAAATCAAACATTCAAGAATTAAAAGAAATAGTAAACAAAAGTAAATTCAAAGGAAATAAATCTCACAAACTTTCATTGATTAAAGATGAAATCCAAGCTCAAAGTAGAAATCAAAGATAAAATGGAAGTACAAAACAAGTAATCTCAATTTTCTCTTTATACTTTCTCTCTCTTCTAATTCTGGAAATAAGTCTCAAGTTCATATAAAATCAACCACCCCTAAAAATGAAAAATCAAGTCTATTTATAATAAATTGAGCGAAGGGAGGTGGAACACCCCCGTGTGCACGCACCAGCCCACTATGCCCACGCACAACAGGGTCTACACGCACGCACAGAGGGGCCTGCGCGCGCACCCCTGCTGTGGTGCTCGTGGCTTGGCGTCCCTTGCTCGCTCATTAATCCTTGCTCTCTCTTTCATCCTCATTGTTGGTGCTCTTGAGGTGATGCCCCCCGAGGAGGGCTGCTTTTAAATCTTCAAAATTTGCGCACTCCGGACCTAAAATCAATGAGAAAACATCCGTAAGAGAGCGACAAACAAGATTTCAAACTTCAGTTGCAAGAAATCAAGAAAAAGTAACAGAGAAAGCTAAAAGATTAGAATTTAAACTAAAATAGCTAATTAAGAACAAAAACCATGAAAAACTCATAAAGGTGAACAGAAAACCACAATGAGCTATACAGACAAAAAATAAGAGAAAACTAGAAAGATTATAAGAAAATAAAGCGAGAAAATATAGAAAAAGAATCGAAAACTACTCTAATGAGCGCCATAAATGACGCTCATCAATGAAAAAGAGTGAGGAGCCTTTTGAGGAGGAAAGAAGAAGAGGTGGAGAGCTAGAAAGCCAATTGTCATCTTTGATGCTTGTTTGTGAAAATTCTAAATCTAATGTGTGTTTTGAGGATGATTATGATGATTTTGAGCAACCAAGAGAGTGTAAGGATCCCATTGGTGAGAATTTGAGTGATGGTGAAGGAGTTGAGAGTGAAGAGAGTGTTGATTTCAAAAACCCCAACCCTCCTTCCCATCTTGACGAGTCTCTTGTGCATGATTGTAATTCTTCTATCCATAAGTATTTTGACTCGTTTGAGGATATGTCTAATGTAACACCCTAGAAATTCCTTTCCTTTAAATACCCACTTTACTCTTTAAAATACGAATTAGGAATATCTAAGACATTACCGCCAACGTGAAAACGGCTAAGGCAACTATCAAAGACACACAGCGGAAGACTTAAAATTAAAAACCGTTTAAACAAGTCAACTCAAAAGTCCACCCAACGAAAGTAAAGTTTAAAACCGAAACAAATAAAGTCAAATAAAATCAAACTACAACTTGGAACCATTAAAGGCCCTTATTCAAAACCGTTCCAAAACCAAACCTTTGCGTTAGTCCACACAGAATATGTCATAAATAAATAAAGCATAAAACACATCGAAAACTAATAGAAACTAGCATATATGATTCACTCTTCACTCATGCCCCGTCATAAATATGCTTCAATACCTGAAAAGTTTATCTCTACTTGTCCCCACTACTCTCCATAAAAAATGGGTCATCATAGGGCCAAGATAAAGACATAGCCAAACACACAAACACACAATCAACAAAGCTAAGTACATAAGCGTAATTAAACACACTAACATGCTTTCACCTATCAACACACACTTACCTCAATGCACCTATTTACAAGCACACACAAAAATCAACAAGACACTTAAACTAGACACTAAATAATTCATTTAGCGTTGATTACGCATCGAACGGGTTTCCAACTATGCCTCCCCCAAATAAATTAAGGTTAACTGACACGGGAGCTAGCCGTGCCAACGACAAAACCACTCAAAGGTGGCGGAATTCCTGCGCATAATAATAAATAAAAAGGAATGTACAGCGTCCTGTTCTCCATTAGAAGTTATGGTTAAATGTAAAACCCCATAACTCCCCCATTGTTCATACTCTTGGTATATACGTTCCAAGAGTTTTGGTGCGTAATCTCTTTCACTTTACGTTATTTCATTCTTGAATAATTAGTGACCACATATTATTTAATGTTGAACCCTTTTTAATTCTACCTTAGTGTCAAAGACACCTTAAACGCATAAAGTG